TTAAATTAAAGAATTATTTAAAACTTACTCCTCTCTCTCTCCTCTCTCTCTCTCTATTTCTCTCTCTTTCTCTCTTTTTCTCTGTCACCAACAAACGATGCGCAGCATAAATATTGATCTGTAAAATCTTTACTTTGCACTTTTATCTTCACACTTCTGAGCTCGAAAAAAGAAAAGATTGTTTTGCGATTGATTTTACTGCGCGTAGTATTCGACGCGTCAGTACGCAGTACGCACGAACGCATTGAAACCACCGCGCACCCATACATTCGGTCACACGGCTTTGCCGCGTCGAGACGAATAAAATGATCGAATTCACGTGAAAATGTTCACGCTCCTAGGGAAAAATTACATAATTGATGCCCAGACGCCTAAAACTCATCAATCAATCAATTTTCAAACCTATAACTTGGCGAAAAATCATTGCAAATAAAAAGTTAAATAAGCATTTTGAAGCTTAAAGCTTGTTTGCTTGTTCTTATCGTTGCTTTCCTAGATAATTATAAATAAATTATTTAAAAAATGTTATTGCAATATTTTTAGTTAAAATAAATATATTTCTCTACAGATTAATGTATTTTATAAATATTTTATTTCATAACTAGAAAGATGACAATAAATATACATTTAATTACAATAAATTAGTGTATGTGCACATGTAAAAAGTGTTAACGTAACGTAATTATTGTGATTTTAAAAAAATAAAACTTGCATAAACATGCAACGACAATTTTCTTATCAATAATAATGTCATACAACTTGTTATTTGTAATCTGATATCATCCTTATCTTTATTCTTCTCCATTTTGTCACTTTTTACTGCGCTTTCGAGAAGCGCAAGAGTACTAGTTCCCCCCCCCCCCCTCTTAAGATCTGCTCGAGATATTTCAATGTATGTAATATGATTATAAATATTATGTATATGATTAACGAAAGTATATTATTGTAATAAAATATTAAAGACAGGATTGGAGACACAAATTTCATGAGATATTAGCGTCTACAGGAATAACGTGATCTATTGCATAGACGTGAGTACCGTTAAATACGACATTGAAGTTTGTAAAACCTATAAAAAGAGTTTTTTAATAAAAAAAAAACGATACTTTAAACTAACGATTTTAATATTTTAATTATATTTTACATTACCGTGGTAAAACTCTCCAAGGAGAGAATGTAAATCTTGCCAGCGCTTAGGAAACTCGGGTAAAGACTCTTCATCATTACGAGTATGATTAGTTTTTGTAATTTTATCGATGCGCTGTACCAACAGCTATTATATCTGTAATATGCAAGAAAAGTAAAATTTGAGAGATAACATTTGTAGAAATTAAATTTTTTTAAATAAATTAAAAGCGATTATCTTACATTTTATCGCGCATTTGAAGACTGTGATCTATCAGCCTTTGTCCTTCAAAACTAAGAAAGAATAAATGAATCATCTGACCAAAGACATAGAATATATACCTTATTGCCTCTAAAGTATCCTCATTCCCTTGTGCGATCTCGAAAAAAAAACATTGTAATTTTTCTTGCAGAGCTAGTACCATTTTTGTAATAAATAATAACATACTTGTAGCAAAGAAATGCTCATCCCTATTGTCACTATCAATATTTGTATAGCGAAAGGTGTAGTAAACGTATTTTCAAGAAGTTGTGCGTACCTGTGACAAATAAAAGATAACATACTCACCACAAATTGTGAATATAATTGTTTTCAGATATTTCTTGTTATTTTTACACATATAAATACGTTACATTCTAACCAAACACACTGTAATATGCTAATTACACAATAACGAACATTGTCCGCATACAACTTGCAAACAATTTGTGAATAGCTTGTCAGCTGCTAAATAATTCGCAAACTGTTTATGTTTTGCACCTAAACTGTTTTTTACAAAAATGCGCATAATTAATTCCACTTATATTCCATCTAATGAACTTTTGCAATTAAGCCTCTTTGAAATATATTTATCATTATTTAATCGTGTACTCACTTTAAAGCTTCTCGATGTGTGTGCACTAAAAATGCAATTCTTTTGTGAGATGTTTCGCTTGAATCATTCACATCTTTCATTTCTTCGTTACGATTGAAAAGTAATTGTTCATAACGAAATCTGTAAAATTCGTACAACATTGATTCTGCTAAATTTTATATAACAAATTATATAAAAAACAATTTATATAACAAATTATAAAGATTGTAGTGTTGCTAACAATTTTGTAATTATTTCCTTACCCAACTACGGCGAACATACTACAAACGTGCTCAACAAAAGTCACGAACATGCAATCGTGGGCAACTAATCCGCTCACGGTTACTGCCCAAGCCACGATAGAATGTGAAAGAATTTCGAAGAAATAGTCTTGCATGTCCACAAAATAATATCCTCGATATGGTGGTAAGAAAGGACGGGATTCGTTGAGAGGCAATACGATATCAAGTGCATATGGTATAAGAGACATTGACATGAACATAATCACTGCCATGAAACAATATACTGTAAAGAACAAAACTATTAATAAAAAAAAATCTAATAAAAATATAGAGCATATTATCCTTTATCAGTCCTCACTCGTATATACTAAAGAGAATCGTCTACTATTTTCGGCATACGACTTCATAATTTCGTACTCTTCAGAAGTTTGTAATTCTTTCCAGTAGCCAAGTAAGTGTTGGATGAAATTTTTAATCTGATAAGACATTAATAACAAATCTTTTCTTATAATTTAATATAAAATAGTAATAGCAATAAGAATATAAAAAAAATTATTTAAAGAGTTAAAGAAATGTCTTGTTATGTCCTGACGGGAATCCACGATTCTTTTCTTTCACGCGATTTCGAATAAATGGGTGATAAAAACTGTATCTAATAAGCGGGCCGAATTGCCTACTGCTATTTTAAACCATTTAGATCATCGAAAGAGTTCACAGCAATTTAAGAAGACGCTGAAGTGTTAGAGAAACCAAGAAACAAATTAACTTTATTCCGAAAGGAGAATCAACGAATGATTGGCTGGTAAGTAGCGTAAGATAGAATTGGTCGCTGACCTGTTTTCAGTAAACCGTTTCAAAGAAAACCGTTCAACTCGCAAGGCTTGTTTTTATGCTGACTTACGAGAGTACATCTGTAAGTCTTCTAAGCCGAGATACTCCAGTCAAGACATTTAAAAAAAAAACAATTTTCTTAACTCAAATTACAATTTTTACACTTGAATGTATTGTAATATTCATTTGCAACATGTATATTATAAAACATACTGTGCGGGTGTTTGACTGAATCGTGTACACTTTCAACATAGCTACAAATGTCAGCAGATACGCTGTCATTGCTTTAAAAGTACACTGCATGTCTTTCTTGCACTTAAATTGATACACCATCTGAAAGTATTATTGAGTTTGCAATTTCTGCAATAAATTTCTTTCAGTAATTATATTAATTTACCTGCGGAATTAATATGGTCAATGCAATCGTGGTTAGCAGTGTAACACGAAATATTCTTGTTCTTAGTTTCAGATACGGCCACGCACCAGTGATTGATGATATTTTAAAAAGGATATCGTAATAATGATTCCAAGTATCTTCCATAGTTTAAAAAAAAAACGCAACGCGTCACTGCGAAGTTGACTAACTCCAAATCGTTATACGACTAGTTCTTTATTCTTTGATGTGAAAGAAACAAATCCATGATAAAACTCCCTCTCATAATAAAACTGCTGCATGTACGCAAGTTCTTGTACAACTATTTTGCACATGTCACGTCGCTCAATAATTGTGGATCTTATAGACAGAAGTGGTATTTATCTTCTTAAAGAATAAAACCGGAAGACTTCTGTAACGGATCATTTCCTTCTCTTCGAAAAAGAAACACATGTCAATCAGAAAAAATAATAAGATTAAAATTAATACTTTCTATTATTTCTATATAGCATATAGTTCTCTGAAGTTCGAAATTTCCAAGAATGGATAACTGACATAGGGGTAGATAAGATAATTATTTATTCAATACAGTCATAAATTACTATATGCCTCGCTCAGTATTCAGAAGTGCTCGCAAGGAAATGGACGCAAGTGTTCCCCACCGATTCTGACGGGCTTTGAATACGTTGTCAAGTAGAAATAAGAGACACATACTTATTTATTTTATATGTGCTTAATCATATTAGAGATTGACGCAACCCCTACAAGCTGACATGCTATTTTATTTTGAGGGGGAATACCGTTCAAACTATGAGATATATAAAAAAATGTTGCTTGATGTACGGGGTCGACTTCGCGCTTGATTGTCACCACGGACTAAGGAATAGAAGGACCGAGTCTAAAGTCCTAGTTTATGCGAGAGGGGATGGTAATTCAAGCGTGCGGGAGGGACTGCTTTCCGCCATATTTATGTAGCAATTCTCACACAGAGATTCTGTGTCTGTGACATGGTTACACTCGTGTAGTGGTGCCACTAGACATAACGAGTGACAAGCGTAAAGAGGTTAGGCGGTTTTATTATTGTTGTACTATAAATTTTATAAAATACTTTAACTTTTATTACTCTGAGGCTCTGCATACAGTAGACAAAATATTAGAAATAGCAATAAACATTTAATATTAAAAAGAAAAATTATTTTACATCTAACAAGAAAATAAAATATATTAATTAGTTCCAATTCTTATTTCTTAATTCATGCATTAATTTTTTCTATTTTTTATTTTAAAATAAATAATTCCAATTTCTTATTTCTAATATTTAATAATTATTTTTATTTCTATTTCCTATTTTGTTTATTGAGCGCAGGATCTGACTTTCATTTCTCACACATACGCAAATAGTGAGTTCTATGTGTGGTGATTACTAAACGAATATGGCGGCCCCCCCCCCCCGCGCAAACGTGCTCCACCGGTACAGCTTGTGCTCCGTCCCTCTATTCCTTAGTCCGTGATTGTCACCAATTATATTCCTTTCACTTCTCTACGTAAATAACAATGAAATTTTATTTAACGCTACCGCACTCGAAAGTCTTTCGGTTTTTGCCTGTAACATTTCTCACTTTGCACTTGGTCTCATTTCTACCGACAAAATATAAAGAAAATTAATTTCAAATAACATTTGTTTAATTTAACTTCATCTGGACATGGATTTCTACAGGTTTCTACTAATTATTTGATAGCATTTAAATTAACTAGAACATAACACATTGCGAGTGCTATACTATTTTTTTTTTTAATATAAGATTAGATTATGTGCAGAAATATGAGATTTTCTTAATGCGTCACAGTAAAGAAAATGTGAAATCTAAAATACTAAGCCAATCAAATTTTACAGTGTAGCAAGCATGTTTTTTGTACTGCAATGCATTGAAATCTTATATTTTAAACAAGGAAATGGTATAAAATGCTAAAATGTACATTCTATTCACTTCTATGCCTTAAAATCTTATATCATATGGATATATTTCCCATGCATTGTAAAAAAATGTACATTCTAAAGTTCCATCATATTAATATGATATAAAATTCTATAGCACATAAAAACAGGCATTACATTTCTGACATATTATGTTCATACTTATTTTCTCCAATAAAAATATCAAAACTTATGTTTGTAGTATTGTAATTTTTTGCAAATTTATTTATTTGATGTTAAGATAAAATATAAAATAAATACATTTTAAAAATTTTACTGACTTGGCTAGTATTGTATAACCAATGTATTAATAACAGTGAACAAGATGCAACAGACTTCTTACAACGTGATAGCAATCTTTCTTTTTTTTTTCTTTGCATTATTAGGTGTAAAGAATAAATTTGTTGTCAATATGTTAGACTTAACTTTAGAGAGACGTCTCGTTCCTCAGGAACGCGAAAAGCAGTTTCGCGATCTAAACCTTCAATTAGAAAGCTTAAACAGTAATTTTGCTGATGTGAGCTACGTGTGTGGTTGGTGCCTAACATCCAAAGATACTGAGTTGTACGACACGCTGTGTATCGTCATCGGTAATGTCATCGAGTTCCCAAGGTGGCCGCATCTAACCAGATGGTACATTAACATGAAAAGCTTTACCCAAGAAGAGCGTCTAGCGTTTCCTGTGGAAGCACCGCTTGCTTCTCTGGCAGAAAAGACTGAGCGATTAAAAAGTACTCGCTATCTTAGCAAATGTACTATATTAGCAAAACTGCTAGATAAAAAGGTGAGGCAGTCGGTTGCTTGCAAGCAGAGCTGTCATAAATTATTGCAAAATTACTATCACGGAAGTATAGAAGATTCTCTGGATTTTTCCGGCTACATCACATGAGATGATTGTTTCACAAATTGTCAAACTTGGCACAATTGGTGTAACAAATGTTTTATTCTAAAAAAATTAATTAAAGAAATGTGTTTGTTAATTATAGACCTGGCAATAATTAATGGTGGTTCCTTGCTAGCTTGCTCACTGATATTACCTCTGCTGTTTGGATTAGTTTGATAAATCTCAACATTGAGGGGGCTTTTCTCTTTCATTCTGGTGTCCTTGCAATCTTTTCATCCATTCATGATGTTACGCCTGATACACCACAATTCTTTTACCGTCCTGTGGAAATGCAATCGCAACGTATCAATGTCCACAACGTCACAGGTAAGTCCGACGTTTTCGACTATCGTACCCTGGATAACTAATAAGAAATAATGTCACATTCCGTTTTTCTAACGATTATATCTGTTTGCCTGTTTGTAGATAGCGGAGGAAGTCTGCAAATTGTTGGATCTGAAAACGCAATTGGGGGAGGAAAATGGCTGCTCTCACAAGCTCATTCTCAAAACGCCCAAAGGCACAAGGGATTACAATCCAGAGCAAATGGCGCTGCGATTGGGAGTGTTGGAAAAAGTAATTTCAGTATTTAAGCGTCATGGCGCGGAAACCATAGACACGCCTGTATTCGAGTTAAAGGTAATAATTGCCGTCGAAAACAATGGTCATTTAATGTTTAGTATTAAAATACTGATCGCTACACTGATTTTGTTACGTAGGATGTTTTGATGGATAA